ACATCATCCTCACTGTATGCTTGTGTTTCTTTTCCATGCTGCCATTAAAGGCAAAGTAAATATTTGGGAAGGAGAAGGAACTTGGTGCCTAGAGGTTGGGAGTCGGGTAGCCTAGAAGCCCAGTGCTTCAACCTTTCCTGGATATCCTTGAGACTTTAGCTATACTTCAAATCAGAGGCTGTGACAATGTAACTTGTGACAACTTAATTACAGCTTCTAAAGTCCCAGTTTCCAAACTCTAGGACTTGACAGCAAATGGTTCATTGGCTTCTTGGCTTGAGTTTAGGAGATAAGGGTTGAATTCATAGAGGAGTATTGCAGGAGTATTTCTGGACCACAGTATACCATACCGGTAGGGCACCCAGATTCTAGTTACAGCAGCAGACAAAGACTAAGGCTGATGTTGATTTAAAGGAAAGCAAATCCTACAAGACTAATGGAACTTCAGAGCAGAGCAAACATACAGATGCCAGGTTGCCAGTACTTTCTGCTACTGCTGAACATCATGCCTGTAAAAATGGGGTTTGGGGAATTGCCCCTGAACTCCTGTCATCCTAGTGATTCCTGGAAACAAGGGGAACCACAGTGGCCCTAGGGATAAGGTGTCCCTGATGAGGAAGCAAGGACAGAGAAGCAGAAGGGTTCCCTGCCAGACATCAAATACAGGGATTCAGCATCGGCTGCCTGAGCGCCTCCCTCTCACACACTGACTTCACAGAAACGCAAAGGCAGATGTGCCTTCAGAATGCTCCTCTGAAAAAACTCGCAGTTTGTGTTTCCATTTAACTTCAGGTGCGAGGATCTAGTCTTACATATTCTCAACACAAATCTACCACATTATCTTAATGACTAATATCTCATCGAAGTGGCAGTGTAAGTTGCTAATGGTATTTGCAATTTTCTTCTCATCGAGAGGTAAAAAGGATCTGTCAAAGGGATAAAATCTCTTGCTTACTGGGACTGTCTTTCAGCTTTATGCTTGCTTGGCTTACATGTTCCCTTCATCGGCTAGACTGCTGAAGAATCAGGCACTGGCAGGTTTTTATAAAGGATTTGAATGATCCCTATGAAGCTCCTGGTATTAAACTAGTTCGGTTTCCTATGGGTCAGTCAAATAGATCACGCTGTCTCTTCACTCGCCTGCACTCAAGGGCTCCTCTGAGAGCTGAGGAGGAACAGGAAGTTGTTAGCTCCATCAGAAGAGCCAATACTCCCAAAGAGGCATCTGCTGTATGTAGTTTCCTCAGCCTGTCATCTGCTGCTGTCTCCACCCACAGTGACCTGGGGTCTTACAGTACTTCTCTACCAACCAGACACCGTGTTAGATCTTGAATATCAGAGATTTAATTCGAAGCAGTTTCAACATAGGTCACTTAGGGTTTCTACTGCTATGATGAAACACCATGACCAAAAGCAACATGGGTTTGTTCAACTTATAGTTCCACAGCATAGTCATCCATCAATGAGCGAAATCAGGGAAGAAACTCAAACAAGGGCAGAAACCTAAAGACAGGAACTAATGCAGAGGCCATGGAGAAGTGCTGCTTACTGGCTTTCTCCCCGAGATTTTCTGGCCTGATTCTTATATACCCTGGGATCACCTTCTCAAGGGAAGAACCACCCACAATGGGCTGTTCCTCCCACACCAATCACTAGTGAAGAAAATACACAATACACATGCCCATGGGGCAATATGGTAGAGGCATTTTATCAATTATGGTTCCCTCTTCCCAAATAATTCCAGCTTGTTTCAAGTTGACATAAAACTAGCCAGCCCAGAATGGGTTCCTTTTAGAGACATATTTGTCCAATATTTAGCTAACTATAAAGATGCAAAATTAATTCTAAAGCAGTTGACAGCTCTTCAAGATTTGTTTTTGTTTTCTATGTGGTGAGGCTGCAGAACCATGTGTACTCTTAAACAAACACCTGCGTGCCTATAGGAAAGTCGTGAGCTTGTGAGAAGGTGGGTCACCATCAGCACACCGTCGCTCTAGCCTTAACTAGTTTTCTGCAGAGTATGAGCCGTCACCCATCACAGCGCAGACACCCTCACAGCAGATTCACAACCTTGCTTCTGAAGCTCAGAACAATGTAAACAATTACACCCGAAAGCCGAGTCTCCCCACTGCATCTGTGCTTTCTTCATCTCTCATCAGTACCCTCTTAAATTCATCACCAGGCCTCTCTTCTGCAGAGTCCACTTTTGTCGTTTAATATATTCTTTTGAAGCTCCCCGTCTGTATTGTCAGAATCCAGGTCCTCACAGGCCTCATATGGCTGAATCAAAAACAACTTCATTCCAGAGATGCTCCCAGACATTCCTTATGAACATGGAAACAGAGCAGAAGTGAGTTCTGTCTGCACATAGACAAATGGTGAATGATGGCGTGCGTGCGGTAATGAATGACAGAGGGCTGAGGAGGTCAGAACTTCTTCCAGTTCAAGGAAATATTGAATAAGAGAGCTCTGTTAAGTTAGCTGTCTTTCTTTATGGTGCACCAATAAACTGGAGAGGTGGGAGCATTGGGATGGGGTGGGGAGGTGCAACAGCAGGTAGTAAGAGTCACTTAAAGTGCTGATAGGAAGTTAAAAGTTAAATAAATTTATGGCTTTGATCACTAAATCCTCCGTTAAGAGTCTGTGTTAGATGGACATTCACAATTCTGAGCAGCAGCTCCTGTAGCAGTAGTCGGTGATTGTGCATACAGAGAGGGTGGAACAAAACTTCTCCATCTCTATTGCTGGCATAAGGCCTTCCAGCTCTTCTCTGCAGAAAGTGTTCTCTTAGCTTCCCAGTTGTACAGCCCAACTGCTTTCCTCTGCTTCACCTCGGGCCAATCACTAAGTTCTCCCAGATACTGAGCTGGTCCCTGGAATAACAATGCATCAGCATCCCCACTGTCTCTGCACAAGAATTATGCCATGATTTTTAAAAGTTCCTTGAGAATTTCATACTCAATGTAATATAATATTATTATTAAAATATAACAATATTTTTTATTTTTATACTCTTTCTAACCCCAGTTCCTTCCAGATCCCTTGCCACTTCCCTAGTCATCTGATTTGCTATTCATGCCAGATGCTGTCTGATCTATGCCATAGCTTCTTAACATGCCTTTTTGAGATTTTCCACCTCTGTCCACCTCTGGGACTAGTAAATTAATAACTAGGGGATTCTTAAGACAGTGTAGAGAATGGAAAATTTGCTTAGGTTGTGTGAAGTTTTTGGGTGTGTAGTAACAATAATATATGTGAAACACCTGGTTCTGTGAGCTTGTGGTACACACTCAACAAATATATTTCTTATTTTTATTATGAATTGTGTTCACTGGTCTGAGTGTCTTAAGTTCTTTGTCAAATTCATAGTCTCTACTGTGCCTAGCCCCTAGTCACTACTCATTTATGAGATTCATTATATTATTCTGTAAGATGTATTATTATAATCAATAACTGAAAGATTAATAGACCAATAAACCAGCACCCTCCAATCTGTAGCAGAGGCTGTTAGCCAACAATGGTACCATCCATGATACTGACATACATGTATACATGCGCACACATGCACATACATACACACATATGCATGCACATGCACACACACATGCACACACACATACATGCATGCACATATACACACATACACATGATACCTTTCCACACTGAACCAGGACGGTGCCCTGACCTCAATTCTAGAAGCCAATTCCCAACAAAGCCTGCCACTAAAGTGTTTCTGCAGTGAGCATGCTTATAAACCTTTCTACCATAAAAAAACTCATTCTACCATAAATAGAGGGAAGTTTGCTTTGGTCCATGATTTAATTTTCAGTTGCTTGTGAAGGATTTATTTTGTGTTATTTGTGTTATATAAGCAGAGAGTAAAGAGGCAGTGCCTTCCTAGAGAAGGCAACTGTCTCTACATTGATGTACTTGGCCATGTATGCCTCTAGATACAGCCTCTAACAGTGTGGGGGTGGTAATTATGGTCTAACAGATCTCAATGTGAGACTGTGACAGTCTATCTTACAAGGTGTGTGTGTGTGTGCGTGCCTGTGTGTGCTTATGCATGTGTGTGTGTCCATGTATGTGTGTGGATATATGTGTGTATGTGTGCACTTGCGTGTGCTAGTGTGTGTGTTTTCTCCACCATAGAACTCTTCTGATTTAGCCCTGCTTTTCTCTTACTCTACTGTGGGGAACTCAGAGCCTAAGAGAAAAAGCACCTTTTCAGAGAGGGTATCTAAGTGATCTATTGTGTCTTCACTTCCCTGGTAGTTGCTACACCACAGCTGGCAGTAGCAAGTATTTGAAGACTCTTTTGGAGACAAGGCCATGAACACAGAAGTGAAAAGGAGCATGATCAGCCGGAACATGTGCTCTAGCTGACTCTTCAACAAAGAGCCAACATTCTAAATTAAGGGTTCAGCTTGATAATGAGGAGCAAGAAGAGCCCCAGGCCACCTGGGCTGTGGTCTCCTTAGCCATCTAATAATGTCCTCATGAGACCCAACACCAGTCCTCCTAAACAAGTGTAGGAGGTTTAAGCAGAAAAATGCAGCCACAGTGTTTCTGAACACATGGCTGTTAAGCCCTAAAGAGAACTCATATTCTCTGGGAGTGGCAGCGATTCTTAGCTACCCCAGCACTGGTGAAACAAGTAGATAACAAGGTCTTAGGTACTTGAGAGAACAGGCTGAGTGAAGTGGTATTTGGCATCCTCTCTGCTACATGAGAAGCACATCTGGATGTTATTCCCAGGTTTCCAAAATCACAAATGCTGGATGTGCTAATGAATCTGCCTATAACACATTGCTGAATGGCCTCTAGCTGGAGACTTTCTTTCTCAAAAGGCAATATGGAAGGAAACTATTAGAGTCTATACATGTGAGAGAAGAAAGTCTCTTAGTTTTAAATATTAAGTGTATGTCCATTCTAATAACAACACACCCTGATTTGTCCTGGTAAGCTAACAGCTGTGCTTTCCCTTTTACATCAACCAGTGCTTTTGGATGCCCATACTCAGACGTGAACTTGAAAAGAGAGGCAGCACTTCAGGATCGCCTGAGAGAACAAACACAGGCAAATTTGGAACTCGATCCTTCACATTCCAAATCAGAAAACCCCTGTAATTTGAATTTCAACGGAAAATGTGAGAAAGCGAACAGTCAGTGCAGGTAAGAAACTCTGGAAAGTTGAACCAGAAAGAGAACTCTATGGAATTCTAGTAGAACAAATTTATTGCCGGTTCCTTAGATTTTGTCAAGGTAATTCTTTGGTATAATGTTATATTTAGTATCTCATAGAGTTAACTGGCTACTCCCTCAAATGTTAGAATATATGCCTCTTCTGTATGTACAAATCTTGTTAGCAGCAGAGAGTGCATCTCATATGTGTGGTCCTAAAAGATTCCCTTTGATCTTGCAAACGCCTCTCTTCTTTGTACTCATTTCACCAGTGATATCTTCTGGCGAGAGCTGAGAATTTATCTGCTGAGGCACACTAGGATTCCCCCTGAGACCTGTTAGTATTCTGTGTCTCTTCAATCCATCGATGCCTGAGATATAAGTTCAGAGTCTCCTAACTTTCTTTACTAAATCAATAGGAACACATCACTTTTTCTATATCCTAAGTTATTTTTTTTTGAGGGGGGAGGTTCAATTTTTAACTATTCAATTGTTTGATGAGATACTTTCAGATACAACCTTATTTGATCTTTTAAAAACTCCAACAAACAATCTAAATAACATCTTTTCTTCAAAGTACTCCCATCATCCCTGCTAGAAATTGCACAGGTAAATCAAACATTAAATACATAACTGGAAGCCAGACAAAGACCAGTGAGAAAAGTGTTCAACTCCATGTCAGGCAGGAGTCCTATCCAGGTCTTGGAACTCACCAAACCATCTGTGGTTGATAGAAGAGGCTCTTCCTTGTCTCAAACTTATCCCATGGGTCGAGTTCTCTTAGGACAGCTTTGCTCATTTATACCCGAAGTCCCCAAGTTGTACATGTTCACTGGGAGAACTGCATTCGGCAGACATGTTCTCACATATATGTCGCATGCTGTATGTTGCTGCATGTATTTAGATCCATGCTACTTTCATACCAGTGGCGTAGAACATGTGGAAGACATTTTATTTCTGTTAAGCAGCTATTTTGATTTCAGCGGCTCAGCACAGGATTGCAGCTCAGCTCCCTCTCAGTTGTGTGATCTTTTCCATATGCACACGCATGCCTCTATTTTTGTAGCGGTGTCTTGCATTTTTATTATTTACTGAACACCCACTCCTCTGTTGAAGCTTCACAGGCTCTGGCTGTTCTTTGCTGCCTGTTCACACCCACACTGTGTACAACGAGAGCACGCGTGTTCTTTCTTTTTCCCCGATTGAAGAAGGCTTCCTCTTTTTTTTCTTTCTCTTTTTAAAATGATTGTCTCCAGGAACAACATTTATTTATTCCAAAATCATAGAGGCATCTGCATCCATGTACTTGCTTTCTTTTTGCCTCATTCTGTTATATTTTTTTCCAAGTGAATATCTGTCCAGTTACACTTGCAAATATTTTAGATATTCATCTTCAGCATCATGTGGCACAGAGACTAAGCAGGTCTTGAGCTGCGTTTAAAAAGTATTATATGGCCTTAGTGGTTACCTAAGCCATTTTTCCCCAGCAAACACAGGTATCTCATCATCACCCCATCTCAAATTCCTCAAAGGGAGTTCCCTCTTCTGATGTTTTATTGAGTGCTGTACTACTTCTGAAGGGCTTCACACAATAATAGTATAACAGGTAGAACAGTGAATACAGAGAGAGCAGTACTTTAGCTAATGATTGAATGCGGAAGTCTCAAGTGACACTATGTTATCCAGTCCCATGCTGTGTACATTCTGAACTGTGTCAGTACCTGCAGGAAGTGGAGATGCCCCCCCCCCATGTCAGACATTCACAGAATTGGCATCATGGCCACGCTCACTTAAACTCACTCCCATCCCTGATCTTGCTTGTGGTTGTGAACACGATTTTCAGAATCTGGGGGGAAAAAAAAGAGCAGAAAACCAACACTGGATGCTCCATGGGCTAACTGTGTGCAGATAAAATGCAGTTCAGTTCCCTTCCTTGTTTCCTGGTGGTACTTCCCTGAGGCTGTCACTGATCTAACCCATAGCATTAAAATACCATGATCAATCATAGATGGCATTTGACTTCCATGTGTCTTCTCTGTCCTGAGCTTTGCACAGGATTCTGTTATTTCCTTCACAAGCAAACTTTGTTCCAGTAGCATTGCCAGACTTCTGAAACTTCACATGGAAATGCAGCATTGTCATACAGGTACACATGCACATACGTGTACACACAAAAAGACATAAACTATAGATATCAACAGGGAGGGAGGGAGGGAGGGAGGGAGGGAAGGAGGGAGAGAGAGAGAGAGAGAGCGCTTTGCAGCTTTTCAGTGAGGTCATTAGAAGCATATTTATGACTATAATTTACCTTCATATTAGAATGTCTATTTATGGTCACATTTTTTTTTAAATTAAAGGATCACATTTTAAAACCCAGTAGGATATATCTACCAAGAGTCCATAAGATTGACCTGTGAAAAGTCAGATATTCCTGTTGTATTAACCTTTAGAACTCAGACTCACAATATCACAACAGGTGGCAACAATTGAAAGAACGTATTTAGCTTACATGAAATTTATATTCTTATTTTAGTTTGAATACGATGCTTATATTCTTTATTCTTGTGTTGCTAGAGTAAGCAATGGTACATTCATGATGCAGTCAATGGGGACACAGTGCTTCATATGAGTTTTTTACTTAGGTATGTACTGCATGCCTGGAAGCACCTTTGATGTGTGTACTTAACAGTTTATACCTTCTTATCATCTTGCGCTTTGGGTGCAATGGAGATTCTTGACATCACAGCATTGCCATTTGTAGTGAGGAATGCTGTACTCAGGAAGTAGAGACCCCTTGTCTGTCAATCCAAGACCCAAACCTGAGCCATTACAGCCAGCATATTTCTATCCCATGTAGTAAAAACATAGAATATACTAATAATTGCTATTGTTTTAGTATTAAAGTCCCTTTGAGCTAAACAGTTCATATCATACAATCTTACTAGTTTTATCTTATATTATGAAAGTCCTGGCTTTTTTTCTTATTCAGATTTTATCACATTGATAACTGAAGTTCAGCACATTCATGTAATGTGTTCAAACTGACACAGATAATCACTCCTCTGGAGAGGTTGGGGGTTGAATACACAAATGCCTGACTTCAAGTCCTAAGCATGTTCAATCACATCCAGCCCAAGAGAGAGAGAAGACAGCATGAGACTTTAAGAAGGTCTGACTGGGTATACTGTCACTGTTTTATACTTCTGGCTATGAATTTTAGGGTTGAGTATGGTACGTATAATTTTTTAAAATAACATATTTTGTAAAAAAGGTTTTTTAAACATAAAGAAAAAATCATAATTTTTAAATCTTACGTTATAAAAACAAAATTCCTTATGGGCGACACCATGTGTCCTCTCCCCCCCACCCCCATGCTTTCTATGATCTTTGGTTCACATAATACAAAATTCCCTGCCTCTAACATATTTCTCTGTAATATGCTAAAGGCAGGAGAGTAATGCTAGAACCACGAGATGTCTTTATGATAAACATAATTCCTGTGGAATGCAGCTGCCCCTGCACTGTCTGTTGGCACTTTGTCTCAGTTCAGAGGAGACCCTGTCTCCAGTTTTTTTCTCCCCTAAGTGTTCTGTGATAACTGCTTCTGCCTTCCCAAAGCTGCCATCACCATGATATTAAATTGGCACAACTGATAGTTCCACCATGCACTGAAATTCCTGTCATCTTTCATCCGGTGCTACTAATTTTTTTTTTAATTTAAGAAGCTAAGAAAATGCCACGTTATCTTCTCCAATGCCTGCCGCTTCTCAGGTTTATATACCCCTCGAAGGTCTGTGTTGATAACAGAACCGAGCTGGAGAAATTGCAATAATCAAAGTGAACCGCACGTAATGGAATTGTCTCTTAATGATCCTGATAATAAACTGTGCTTCCGTGAACCAACTAGCTTCTTTACACCTCTCAAATTAGCTGTAACATAAAATACATTTCTATGGGGCTGTTCTCTAAATATTAACAGTTTTCCCACATATTAACCTTCCATGTTGTTCCATCGATTTTCTGTAACTCACTAGGCTTCCTCTTTGCTTAGGGCCAGTGGTGGGTGTCCCCAGTCAGCCTTGACCTCATCAGCCACAGTGTTGCTTGTTTTCCAGCCTTATGAGTCTATTCCGGCCCTCAACCCCAGGTTACCTTCCATCCGTAGCTCCTCCCTTGCTCGTGGCTTCACTCTCTCTGTACCACTCTGAACAGTTCCCACCGATGTGAGCATCCCAAGAAAAGAGACTATTTTTTTATGCTTCCGTGTTTCTGACACCTAGGATACTATCTGGTGCTTAGTAGGCTCTCAGAAAATGAAATAGATTTAGCAGCCAATATGTGCCCAAGGCTTGGGGGCGTTGGGAGGCAGAGTCAGGGAAGAGGCAGCTCCTCTCCTGCCCTGGACCCTCAGTGCTTTTGCTCTATGTCACCCTTGAGTGGCTTTCCTGTGTGTGTACATGTTTGGTGCTTTACTGTACGTGCCTTTTGCTCCTCAAAGCATGACAGATGGCAAGCATGAGAACTTGTGTTCTAATCTTCAGGCTCTGCTTCATTACCTTGCTACACCGTAGGTTCTTTAGTGCGTCTGAGTTCACTGAGTCACTTACTGACATTCGTGCTCCTCTGAGAGTCTCCTCTTCTTTAGGATAAATGCAAATGGGAGAACTCACATATTACACTTTAATTAGGGCATACAGATAGATATAGCTATTGATATAGGCACTACCCTGTAGCCTGGCCTGGACTATAGTGGAGACTCTTGAAGTAATTATCCATATCTTTTTTTTTTCACTACTTCTATACAATTTGCTGACTTTAAAACCTTAGGATTGGCCTAGTTACAGTTCTCTACGTAACAACCATCTAGGGACCAGCAGGAACTTAGATCTTCGTTTACTTGGTCAGAGAGAAAACTCAGCATCTGTAACTAAATTAAGCCCCTTAATCAAGGAATCCGTGATCAACTTCTTCAATGTAGGAATGAA